CCATGTACTGCTAGTAGTAACTAGCAGTCAATCCCTATACTCCTTCCTGCTCCCGGCCCTGGTAACCACTAATCTAGTATCTGTATGGAGTTGCCTATTCCAGAGAGTTCATGTAAACAGAATACCACAAATGTGACCTGTTGTGTCTGGCTTCTGTCACTTAACATAATGTTTTCAAGGGTCATCCATATCAGGGCATTTTTTGGTATTTCATTCCTTTTTATGGAATGGCTAAATATTATTATGACCAAACAATATTCCATTGCATGGATACTACATTTTTCTTTAATTATCCATCAGCTAATGGATATTTGGGTTGTGCCTACTTTTCTTGCTATTATGAATAATGTTATATGAATATTTGCATATACTTTTATGGCTAAATAATATTTCACTGTATGGATATTACATTTTGTTTATTCATTCATTGGCTAATGAATATTTGTGTTGTGTCCACTTTTTTGTTGTTATGAATAATGCTATATGAACATTTGTGCATACTTTTTTTTAAGACAGCATCTTGCTGTGTCATCCAGGCTGGATATGCATACACTTTTTGTAGATATGTTTTCAATTCTATTGGATCCATGCCAGGGGTGGAGTTACTGGGACATGTGGTAATTGTATATGGGCTTTGAGAAACTGCCAAACTGCTTTACAGAGTAGTTGCACAATTTTGCAGCCAACCAACCAACCAATAGATGAGGCTTCCACTTTCTCCACATCCTTGTCAATGCTTGTAATTGTCTTTCTTCTTTCTTTCTCTCTCTCCCTCTCTTTTTTTTAATAGGCAGGTCTCCCTCTTTCACCCAGGCTGAAGTGCAATGGTAGGATCATAGCTCACTGCACCCTGAGCTCCTGGGCTCAAGGGATCCTCCTGCCTCAGCCTCCTGAGTAGCTTGGACTGAAGGCATGCAGGCATGCACCACCATTTCTGGCATCAAAACATTTTCATTTACAGTAGACTTTCATGGAAGTTTTAGATTTTCATAAAAATTGAGAAGATAATACAGAAAGGTCCCATATATCCCACAGCTGGTTTTCCCTATTACTAACATTAGTTATGGTACATTTATATTACATTATTATACACATCTATATATTATTATATATTGATACATATATACGATATACATATCATTACATGATGCTACATTTGTTACAATTAAGAACCAATATTGATACATCATTAACTAAAGACCATAGTTGATTCAGATTTTTAATTTTACCTGTTTTGATTCTAGAATCTCACCCAAGACACCACATTACATTTACTTATCATGTCTTCTTTGACTCCCCTTGGTTGTGACAATTTCTTAGACTTTTCTTGTTTTTCCTGACCTTGACAGTCTTGAGGAATGTTCAAGTATTTCATAGATGACCCTGTATTTAAATTTATCTGATTCTTTTCCTCATGATTAGTCTTGGGTTATGGGTTTGGGGAGCAAGACCAGAATTAACGTACCATCTTTATCACATCCTGTCAATGGCATATACTACCAACATGATTTATCACTGTTCATATTGACCTTGATCACCTAGCTGAGGTAATTTGTCAGGTTTCCCCAGAGTAAAGTTACTCTGCTCCCCTCCCTTTCCTCTACCCTCAACTTTCCATTCTACACTCTTTGGGAGGAAGTCACTATGTATAGCCTACACTAAAGGAGTAGGAATTTATGGTCCCCCTTTTTGTGGGCAGAGTAGCTACATAAGTTATTTAGAATTCTTATGCAAAGTTAGATTTGTCTTTACCCCATTTATTTATTGATTCAATCATTTATTTATATCAGTATGGGCTCACAAATATTTTATATTTTGTATTATAATCCAGTACTACTTTATTTATTTTCTTGCTCAAATTATTCCAGATTTGGTCACTGGGAGCTCTTTCAATTTGTTTCTATACTCCTTTGACACCACCATCAATGGTTTCTTTCTTTTTTTTTCTTTTTCTTATTATTATTTTTTTTTAACATTTCCTTACTTTCTGGCACTGCAAGATACTCCAGTCTCAGCTTGTTGATTTCCTTCTCTAGTAGCAGAATTAGCCATTTCTCCAAAAAGCCCTGATTTTTGTTGTTGGAGAATGGTATAAAAATCAAGATCTGGGTGCTAAGTGTTCTCCTTGCTACTGGAGCATCATTGCTTCTAGACTCTCTGAGCTGACAGAGAAAGGAAATATATGTGTGCATACTAACTGTAATACAGACACTAATCTAGAAATATTTCTATATGTAACCTTCTGTATCTATATTAAGCTAAATGTGAGTTCATGCTGATGTCTCAAATTGATCTATTACCACATGAATCATCCTTCCTTTGCTTAAATGTAAATTCCCAATCCAACAGTGAGAAACCTGGCTCCCACGATCTGCAATCAATTTGTTTAATTCCAGTATACACGTAAGGCAATAGCAGAGTTGTTAATATCAGAATTGTACCCTGTTAAGGCTCAGAAAATGATACCCCAATGTATAGTCCTTTAACATTCCTCTAACAAGCACTTAGAATTAAAGGAAATTGAAAAGCCTTCAAAGCTGCCCAAGAATCGAGGCCTGTCTGGCTTTCTCTTGTTTCTCATCCTACTCCCATAAGTGCAGGGAGGGGCTCTCCTGAAGTTCCCTTCTCTGACTGAGGAAAGTTCTTCCAAAAGGAATACATTTGTTTGGAGCCTCCTCCCTAGGAATTTCAACAAACAACCAGGACAGATTTATCACCAGAGGAGATTAAAAGTTGTCACCACACCAAAACAGGCTATTGCCTATTCTTCAGCAGCAATAAAAAACTCCTAAACAACTTTTATGACCTGAGAGACTTTATTTACATAAGACAATCTTTGTTCACCATGCAGTTCCTCCCCTTTTCCTCCCATAACTTGTCATCACCTCCCCTTCAAGCCCCTATTCATTTTATGCTATAAAGCCTTCAACCATCTGCCCCCCTCTTTGAGTCTCATATTTTTCTGAGGCTTCCACGTGCATGTACATAATTAAAATGGTGTTTCTCTTCTTAATCTGTTTATTGTCAGTTCATTTCAGCAGACTTAATTATCAAACCTCCAGAGGGAATGTTTAAACTTCCCTACCCCATGGGAAACAACTTGTATCAGCTAGGAACTGCTTACATGCAGTTCCTTTTGCCTTTAGTCTTACAAACTCCAGTAATTTCCAAAGTTACTTAGATCAGCACCTTTCACCCCTACTCTCTTGAGTTTGTTTCTACATTTGTACTAATAGTTATGATCTCTTGTCACAGTCTGCATTCCTATGATTCCCTGACTTCTTAAATGATTAAAACTGTTTACATAGAATTTTGACCCTTTGTGCAGTAAAGTTCTATGTTTTCACAAAGACACAATGTCATGTATACACCATCACAGTATCACACAGAATTGTTTCATTGCCTTAAAAATCTCCTGTGCTTCACCTATTCATTCCTCCCTCCCCTCAAACTCTGGCAACCACTGACATTTTTAGTCTCTATTGTTTTGTCTTTTCCAGAGTGTCATATAGTTGGACTCATAGTATGCAGCCTGTTCGGAATCTCTTCTCTTAGCAGTATGCATTTAAGGTTCATACAGGACTTTTTTGTGGCTTGATAGCTCATTTCTTTATTGTTGAATAGTATTCCATCATATGGATGTACCAGTTTGTTTATCCATTCACTTACTGAAGAAATGTGTGTTGCTTCAAGTTTTAACCAATTATAACCCTGTTATGAACATGTGTGTGCTGTTTTTATGAGGACAAGTTTTCAAATCAGTAAATACCTAGGAGTGAAACCATTCCAACTGTCCCATAGAAATGATATTTAAAAGTTTTGACATAAACATGGAAATTGACCCTTCAGGTCTTAAAACTTGAAATTTACATTTGTCTCATCTGAGTTCCTTCCTCAGCAAACAGATCCTCAGGCAAGGGACTTAAAACTCACCAGATCACCACATCGAAACAAGATGCCAGACACCCTCATTCATCATAATTGCTTTTTTTACCCTCCTCAATTTCTTCCCTCACTATATAAGCCTCCCCAATTGTAGTTGGTCAGGGATTTGAGACTTTATCTCCCATTCTCCTTGGCTGCAGCACCCAATTAAATACTTCTTCCCTGGCAACATTCATTGTCTCAGTGATTGACATTCTGTGTGGTGAGTAGCAGGACTGAACCCCTGTCATTTTGGTTAACAGGAGCATGATTGCTGGATCAATGCTATGTCTAGCTCTTTAAGAACCCACCAAACCGTCTTCTAAAGAGGCTGAACCATGACACATTTCAATGAGCAATGAAGAGTTCCTGTTTCTCGACATCCTTGCCATCTTTTGGCATTTTTAGTGTTTTCGCTTTCTACCATCCTAGTGGGTGCTAAGGGATAACTTATAGTTTTAAGTTGCAATTCCCTGATGACAAATGATGTTGACCACATTTTCACATTCATGTTTATTTTTGATGTCTATTCAGATCTGTTGCCCATGTTTAAATTGGGTCATTTGTCTTATTTTTTTTAAGTTTTTTTTTTTTTTTTTTTTGAGAGGCAGTCTCACTCTGTCACCTGGACTGGAGTGCAGTGGTGTGATCTCAGCTCACTGTAACCTCCACCTCCCAGGTTCAAACGATTCTCCTGCCTCAACCTCAGGAGTAGCTGGGATTGTGTCATATAGTTGGACTCATAGTATGCAGCCTGTTCGGAATCACTTCTCTTAGCAGTATGCATTTAAGGTTCATACAGGACTTTTTTGTGGCTT